AACAATAGCACCTGACAGACCAGCTAGGCCATCCCTTCGGAGGCTGCGCTGTGGCTGCTTTGCACACCACCCCCTTGGCTTCACAACCTTCCAGACAGTCCTAGAAAGCAGGAGGGAGAGGGAGGGAAGACAGGTAGAGGGAGAGGGAGCAGCCAGAGGGAGGAAGGGGGGACTTGAGAACTGGGAGAAAGGGAGCGCATGAAGGACAGAGCAGGAGAAACCGAGGGGCAGGGAGGGGAGACCAGGCAGAACATGGGGAGTCTGGGTGGCAGGGAGGAGAGCGGAGGGGTGGGGAAAGATGGGGGTGGGGCAGAGAGGGGGGGGGCAGCAGATCAGAGAAGGGTGCCCAGGGACCTGAAGGACAATGCTAGAGCCCAGGTATGGGGACCAGGAGCCCTGGCAGAGAGCGCCTAGGCTATCTGGCAGAATTTGGGGACCAGGCCCCTGCCCCTCTGCCCACCTCCCCAGCTACTCCCTTGGCTGCCAGGAAATCAGTCCTCCCTCCTCTCCACCTCCCTCCCTCCTTCCCTCCCCGGGGGCCTTCGCAGCCAAATCCAAAGCCTTCATCTCCTCTTTTCAGAGCCTGGAATGAAAGAAGGGGAAGCAAGTGAGTGCAGCCCTCAAACCCGCTGACGGCCAGATTTTTATTATCTTTGCTCGAATGGGCCCTGGGAAGCCAACTAGGGATTCTTCAAAGAGCGTCTGAGTGCCTCATTGAAGCCGGCACCTGCATCAGCCCACCCACGGCAGGCTGCTGGGGTTTGGGGGGCGCAACCTGTCCCCACCCCCCACCAGTGCTAGGAACCAGATCATAGGCTGCCAGCAGCCTCACGCTCTGCACCTTGTGCCCAGGTCAGAAAGCCAGGCTCAGCGGCCAGACCCGGGCCAGCTGGGCATCTAAGGCAGTTTCTGTCCCTCTCTGGGCCTTTCGGACACAAATAAAGGAAGAAAACAGATCTCCTTGCCAGGGCTTGGAGGAGATAAGTGCTTAGGATTCCTCGAAAGAGAAGCTTTTATGGCAAGCCCTGGAGCCTTCTCCTGGTACTTGCCCAGCACCCACAGGCTTCCTCTACTGCCCCGACCCCTCTTGGAAAGACTCCCTCCCAACACAGCTGCCTCTGCCTGTGCCCCAGGCCCACTATTCAGAAGGAAAGACACTATGACCTTTCTTTTCTCTAACCCTAAACACAGTTCCAGCAATTCAGATCTTCAACCCTGTCTTCCTTCTTTCTAATCCAGGTGGGGTGAAGTGGGGGCGCTACGCAGACCAGGTACATCAAAGAACCCAGCCCCTTCCCCCTCAGCGCTTCCAGCGCTGGCAGGGGTTTTGGCAGAGAATAGCAAGGTTGGCACTGGGTAGACAGCAGTGGTGCCACCCCCGCCCCCATCTCTGACCACACCATTGAGATCAATGCCCGCAGCCAAAGAAGGAATCAATGGTTCTAATTAAACCCTCTTTCCAGGGTGGGTCCCTGGCCAGGGAAAGAGAGAAGAGAGAACACCAGAGAGGCTCTGCATCCTGAAAAATACCTTAGACATCTTTGAGAAGCCTGAAGCTCTGCAGAAATCAGGCCATGAAGACCCCAGGCCCCTGCATTAGGCAAGAAGGCAAGTAGAGCGCTGGGGTGAACCTCTGGGATTGGGGTAAGCCTCCAAAAGGCGTATTCTAGGGACCCCTCCCCTTTCCTTTCCCTGCCTGACACCACAGTTGCTTCTTTCAGAAAGATCTCCAGAGCACAGATAGCAGGAACCAGAAGGGGGACCCACAGCATCTCCATTGGAGCCCTGAGGGTCATCGCAGAGAATCAGCCACGGCAGAAAAGGCGGAAGGAGCAAGACTTGGGGGGTGCACTGGACAAAGACCCTCTTGTCCCTAGGCAGGGTGGCAGGAAGCCAGGGCAAAGCCTTTGCACTTGCTGCCAATGGTGCCTGGGTGCCAGGCAGTCTGGGTGGGGAGCTGGGGGGATATTATTCTTGGAGCCCCCTCCCCTTATCCCAGAGTCCTCACCCCCATTCCTTGCTTCTACACCAGGCCACTAGCTAGGTCTCTGCCCCAGCAACTCTTACTTGCCTGAAACTCTCCTTCCTGTGATGCTTGCCCAGAGTGGCCCCAACATCAACCATAGCCAGCCAAACCCTAAACACGTACATCATAACTGACCCCACATACACACACATGCACAACCTCACCAGAAAACACAGCCAGCCCCCCTGCCACCTGTGATGACAGAGCCTTACATTTCACAGTGACAGTCTCTGTCAAATGCATCATCAATTTTTTAAGACCAGCCAGACGGGGAGCAAAGGGAATGAGAGAAACTGAGGCACAGAGTTAGACAGCAAAGCAGTTGGTTCAAGGTCACCCACACCAAGATTCCCAGAGTCCAGAAGGTATTCTAACCCCCCTAGAGTGCTCAACCCCCACCCAAAGGAACATTCAGACCCACAAATCTCAAGTCGGGTCAGCTTCCTTCACTCCCCACCCTCATCTGTTTCCTTTTCCCCCCAAAACAGACAGAAGCTCCTATAGCTCCTTTGAAGAGCTTCAGACAGAAATCTCCAGCTCGAGGACCTCACTTCCCTCAAAGTTGGGGGCTGCAGGACCTCCTGGTCCTGCAGAATTTGAGGAGAGAGGCTGGAAAAGACGGTCCAGGACCCCCTCCTTGCCCACAGCCCTAATCCGGCTCACCTGGCTCCCCTCGGCCCCCAGCGTCCCTTGGTCCAGCCTCCTCCCTGGGAGCGCGGGCACTGCCCTCCGCGGTCCTCTCCCACCAGGCCAGGGCAAAGCGCCGGAGGCACTGCCAGGGCTGCATGGGGAGGCGTGGGGCTGGGGGCGCGTACCAGCAGCCGCACACGCCCCGCCGGGCCCTGCCAGCCTAGCTGCGGAGGCACCCGGCCGGCCCCCTCTGCTGCCACCAGCATCCTGCTGCCCCCACCGACAGGACTAGGAGCTGGCCCGGGAGCTTCTGACGTAGCAGGGGGGTGCGTGGGAGGGAAGGGGGGGCCACTGCGCGTTTTAGCCCCAGCCCCGCCCTCTGTTCCTGGGCCCACCCCAGTCCCTATCTCTTCATTCACCCTGGATGCCCTCCCCAGCTGGGGGCGCCCTCCCCTGCCCTCTGGCCTCTGCAGGGGGAGGGCTTAAGATCAAATAGCCCCTCCCCCAGCCCCTCCCTCTTGTGGGCCCTCCCAACCCGCCAGTCGAGCAGGGAGCAGGTCCCCAGTTTCTGCAACTGCTGCTGAGGCTCAGAGGTCTCCAGGGCTAGAGCCTCGAGGTGCAGGGGGGTAGGGGTGGAATCCGGGCTTGTATCCTGGCAACACAGCCAACCCCAGAACGCACTTAGCCCCTTTCTTCCCTGGGGGGCTGACGTGAAGGGCCCATTACCACCAGCCCCAGCCTGTACCCCATTCTGGGAGCTGGGGCAGGGGAAGGCCTTTGATGCTCCTCACTTCTCCATCCCCATCCCCTCCCCCTGTAGCCTCCTCTGCCTCCACCTCCGATGGACCACTCCCCTCCCCCCACTCTCCTCGCCATCCATCCCCCTTCTTCTTCTCCCACCCCTCCCCCTCCACACATAGTCCTTTACATTTCAACCCCCTCAGGCCCCCTCCCCCGGGTACCGAGAGGCCCTCCCGCCCCGTCTCCAGTCTTCCCAATCCTTAACCCCATCTCTGGTCCCAGCACTCTCGCGCCCGGGTCCTTCTCCCAAGGCCGGCGTGCGGCGGTCCCCAGCCCCCCAGCACACACCTGCGTCCCGAGCATCCCTCGCCCCGCGGGCCGCCGCCTCCCGGGCCTGGCCGCCGCCCCCGCCCCCGGCCGAGGGGAAAACACACAAAGAAAACAGAAATACCTTCCACTTAAGCATGGAGGCACATTAGGGAGGAGAGAGACAGGGACATGCCTTGGGACGGAGCGTTCCCCATCGGGCGGGGGCGCGGGGGGCGGGGGCCCCGGGCCGGCCTGCCTGGCGCTCGCCCTCTCGCCGCCTCACGGGCTCCTCGCTCGGCCCCAGCCCCGGGGCGCGGTGCCAGGCGGGCGGGCCGGGGGCGCGGGCCCCGCCGGGGTGGACCAGCTGGGAGGGCGCCGGCGGCCGGGCGTGTGGGTGCGCGCGCGCGCGGGCGTGTCACCGAGTGTGCGAGAGCGAGTGTGTGTGTGTGTGTGTGTGTGTGTGAGATCGCGCGCGTGCGGCCGGCGCGGGTGTGTCACTGCGGACGGGAGCGCGCGCGGCGCGGGCACGCGCGTGTGGCCGGATGGTACAAAGGGCCGCCGGGGGCGGAGGGGAACGGGGGAGGGGAGGGGGCATTGCGCTTTCTCGCGCCCTCCAGCAGCACCGCGGGATCCCGCAGCGCGCGACCGGAGTAGGGTACGGGGCGCGCTCCTGCTCCCCTCTCCACTCCACCTGCTTCCCCCAACCTAAGCAGTCCTCGCGACACGACAGGGACAAATACATTGACCGGGGACTGGCCTTGGAGGAGGCACCTGGGGAAGGGGGACTTTTCAGGGGTACGAGACTCCTGGGATAGAAAAGCACTTGGGTCGGGGCGGGGCGGGGCAGGAAGGCGAGGAGAGGCAACGAGACTGGGGGCCACTCTTCAGCCAAGGTGACCTCAGAACGCGGCAGCCGCCCTATGCAGGAAAAGTGGGGACCCCGCTCTGGCTCCAAGGCGCCCCCCTCCACCCCTTGGCCCTTCCCCCTAGCCTTAGACAGTGCTCCTCCAGAGGGACCTGGCTCCCTGGCGCCCCCTGCTGGACTGCCTCCTAGCCCCCCCCCCCCCCCACTAAAGGTTGCGGCCCCTCCTGCAGGTGCGTGCGGGAACTGCAGCGGTGCGTGCTGAGAGTAAGGGGAATCTATTATTTCTCCTCTACATGGGACCCTAGAGAAGGACGCTACAACTACTCCACCTTCTCACGCCTCGCTTAGAGGCGCCATTGCCACCTCCAATGCAACCTGCAGACAGCCTGCTCCGCCCCATCCGGCCCTGACCCACTGTAGTTGGCTTACCTGTTGGCTCAGCGAACTTCAGCTCCGAACCAAACCCGTACTGACCCTTCCTCGTGCTCTGATTGCTCCTCTCTCACTGCATCCGATTCTCGGGTTAAACCCTTCTCTCCTAAGCCTCTCTTGGGAAAGGGAAAATGGGCTGAGACCCCTGCCCCTTTTATTTATTCCTGGCATTCCTTAAGCCAGCTCAGATGATAAAGAAAGGGACACGCTGCATCTCTTCGCTGTAGGACACCAGGCCAACTGGCAGGCAGGCAGAGAACCCAGGAGAGAAGACCCCACCTCAAGTAGCCCGAATGACAAACCGGTTTCCCCACTTCCTGGTCTACCCAGTCACAGCCTTAATCTGGGCTCTCCCACTTTCCTGCCCGCCCCCAGGCCTACCTCTGAGCAAACCACATGCCCGGCTAGGGGCAAGGTCCCAAATACCCCTCAGAGATCAATGTCCAGTTGCAGTAACCCAGGTGGCAGGGCTAGGGCTGGAGGAGGAGGGGGCCTTTCCCAACTCCTGCCAGACAATTCAGGAGGGCAGCCAAGAGCTGTGACACTGACACATGGTCTGGGCACACGACCCCAGCAGTTGGGCACCCTGACTTCTCCCCTCCTGGGCCAGCTGCCTCTCCCTCTGCCAACTGGATGGTGCCCATCTTTTGGCCTCTGAGAGTGCCGTGGGCACCTGTCCAGCTCCCTCCCTGGCTGTCTGCCCAGGATGGGCACGGGAGGCAGCAGGCCCTGTGCAGAGGAGGGTCAGACTGGTAGAGTAGCTTCCTCTCAGCGGCAAGACACTACCTCCCAAGCCTCCTAGAGCTCAGAGTGTGGGCACATAATGCTGTTCCATTCAGGCTCCCCATTTAGCTGCTGCACAGGACTCCTCTGCCTTTTGCCTCCCCCAACTCAGATTTCTAACCCCCAGGGACACAATTTCTTCCTGTTCCCAATTTTTGCCCACCTAAGGAGAAGAGAATCTGCAGGTGCTTTACCTGTGATGTCTAATTTAGCTCTTTCACCAACCCTATAGAAGTGACAACTTTCATTCCCATATCACAGTAAAGGAATTGAGGCTCAGAGAAGGATAGCCAATCACCTTGCCTCCTACACAGACATCTCCTAGCCCCATGGGTAGAAGCAGGGACCAGCCAGGCACACCAAGTCTCATAACCATATGGTTGGTGGCAAAGAGCTGGGATCAGGAATGCATCTAAGAGTTAAAATAGGTACTTTATCAATAATGAGGACCTGGGCATTCTCTCCCAGATGACAATGGAAAATGTATGACATGGAGATTTTTCCACCCTTACACTAGATGCCAAGAAGTCAATAGACAGGACTGAGTGGGACAAGTCCGTGAATCAGCCCCCAGGGATTGGAACAGTTCCAAAGGTGTCAGCAGGACAAAGCACTCATTTTCCCATTCCCTTAGAAGCGCTCCTTCAGAGGGTCCCCTGGGTGTCCCCCTGGAGGGGCTTAAATCCGATTCAGTATTTCTTGTGAGGCTCAGTTTTTAATGACGAATCCTTCACATTTCTGGTCATCTCATAGCTATGAGCTCATTTGACCCTCTCCCCAACTCTCCAAAGATGTCTTATGGGACACACAAACACCTAGGACTGCTGGCCCCACATGTCCCATGGAGAAGTGAGAGGGAATGTGGCTTCTGAACAGGAGCAAAGATGTCAAGGTCTCCAGTTGAGCCAAAAGTGGGGATGGCCTGGCAACCTCATCCTTCATGGACCCCATCTGGTCCCCTGCTCTGCTCCAGAGGAGGGGGAAGATAGGTGCACCTCCCCCTCCCATGAATGAGACCTCAGAACTTGGAAAGGCTCTTAGTGTAGGGAGAAGGCTGAAGATGCCACCTCCTGACCAAAGTGACAGTGAACCAGGAATGAATCTCCAGCCGAGAATGAATCTTCCAGGGTGGCTCCTGGAAGCTGGCACAGTGCCCATGCCAGTCAGCATGCCAGCTGCCTCCACCTGAGACGCTTCAGGTGCTGCACCTCCCCCTTCTCATTCCCCAACAGGTAACTTCCCTCTGGTCCTCCTCCCCTGTGACTCTGGCAGTTCTCCTCCGAAGGCAACAGCTGGCATGTCCGGGGATCTTAACCACTACCTTGCCCTTCTCAAACTCTCTAGTCCCCTTGCTTATATCTGGGAGCCTGCAGGAGGGATGTATTGGGAAGCACTCTAGAGGGGAGAATTCTCACCTTTTTTTTTTTCCTCCCAAGACACAGTAGAAGCAGGGATGGCACCTGAACAAGAAGAGGGAATTTGGGTGGGCAGAAAGATTCCCAAGGGAAGCGGGTGCAATGGCACATGCCGGGAATCCCAGCAACTTGGGAGGCTGAGGCAGAAGGATCACAAGTTCAAAGCCAGCCTCAGCAACTTAGCAATGTGTCAAGCAACTTAATGAGACCCTGTCTCAAAATAAAAAAGAGCTGGAGATGTGGCTCAGTGGCTAAGCACCCCTGGGTTCAATCCCTGGTACCAAAAAAATAAAAAATAAATAAAAATTCCCAGGACTCTCTAGGAGAAGCTGCAGGGAGAAAGGTGATGCGCCCCTAGACTGCCCACTCTGACACCTTGAACTATTCCCCTCAGGATCCCCCTAGAAAGTCCCTCCAGGCTACAAATACTATTTGTTTGGCCAGGGCATTCCATGAGACCCATGGAGCCATCCACACTATACTGAAGGTGGCCTGGGGCCTGGTCCTGTTCTGGGGAGCGTGTTGGACTTTGGGACAGAAGCCAGGCTCTACCTGGAGTTTCTTGACCACAGCCTACTGTCCAAGAGCCCCTAAACCTCTCCTCTCACATTCCTTGTTCTCAGTTCCCACTCCCACTCCACAGGAGAGGAACAAGTGGCAGTAAATTTCAAAAGAAATTTTACTCTGTCCCCTGCAGTCCCTCCTCCCTTGCTTGTTATTGTAATGAATGCAAATAGTGCTCAATAACTGATACCCTCATTAGCACATCAAACTGCTCTCTGCAGAATGCAGAGACAAAGTGGAGGGGTTTCTCTGGGTCCAGCCCCCTCCAAAGAACCTTAGCCTGGTGCTTCTATAGGGAGGGACCATAGAGTTGGTGAGGGGCTTGCTGGTGGGATTTCAGGTGTCCCCCACTGTGTGGGAGTTTTCTGGGCCCAGGACTCTTTCCTGTTAGATGACAAGGGTCCTACCTGTCTTCCTGTCACACTGGGAGCTCCTTGAGGCAGGCCCTGTGCTGCCCTTATTAAACTAGAGCTCCCCCTTACCCTAGGGTGGTAGATCTCAAACTAAATGGAAAAGCAGAACCCCTTGGAGGGCTTTTGGGAGAAGAGGGACTGACCCACTAAATTCCTGTTCAATGTTTGAGGAGGGCCTGGGAACTTGCATTTCTAGCAAGTTCCCAAGAACTGCTGCTGCCGAATGGGTACCACACTTGGAGAACCAGTGGGAACCGTCTCCTTATTTCATAGCTTTGGACTTTGCCAACAAAGGTGACACTGAAATAAGTCTGGGCAGGGCCTGGCACACAGGGAATGTCTAAGAGAGCTTTGTGGCTTGAATGATGCGTCTCCCTCTCCTGTCCTTCCCATCCTGACCAAGGCTGGTTCATGCCGCCATGAGCATCCCTGGCCACTCCTTCCTCCCTGGATCTGGACCTTCCATGCTGAGGAACAGGGATGACCAGAGCCTCCTGGTCCCCCGCTGTGTGCAGGTGCATGCTTCTTGCTGCTGTCAGTGGGTGTCATCTCCCCAGATGAGAAGAGAATAACGGTGCAAGAGACAACTATGAACACCCCACCTCACTCTGGGGTGACCTTCTGGGGCCCAGGTGGGGAAAGGCTTATATCTGGGGTCTGTGAATATGCATGCGGCTCGCCCTGTCTTTTCCTCCCACTCTGTCCCCTGAGCATAAGAATTGCCTGGAAGATGCCTCAGCAATTTAGTGAGACCCCGTCTAAAAATAAAAAGGGCTGGGGAATGTAGCTCAGTGGCAAAGCACCCTGGGTTCAACCCCCAGTACAAAAGAAAAAAAAAATTGCCTTGAGCCAGGTGGGGTGGCATGGGCCTGTAGTCCCAGCACTAAGAAGCCTGAGGCAGGAGGATCACTTGAGCCCAGGAGTTAAAGGCTAGCTTGGGCAACATAGCTAGATACCATCTAAAAGAGTGGATTTAAAAAAATTAATTGCCTATGCAAGGCAAGTGGACTGCAACCTCCCTGCTCTAGGGGCAGGGGTTGGGGACAGAGAGATCAGGCAGGAATGAAGAAATGGAAGCGGAAGGGAGAGACAGAAGTCGGATGGACAGCAGGTGAGAGGAGAAAAGGAGAGATGAGGGGAAGCAGGAGAGGAAAGGGAGGAGAGAGAAAAGAAGGAGGGGAAGAACGGGGGGGGGGGGAGAAAAGAAAGGTGAAGAGAGGAAACTAGGGCAAGGGGCAGGAGAAGGAGAGCTGTTGCTGTGTATCCTTAAGAGGACATAGATTATGAACTCCTGGGGCCCAGGTGGACCACAAGCCCAACTTCTACAAATCATACCCAGTTTGGCTGTGAGTCCCTAGATTTCATCATCTGATCCCCTTGTCTTGATAAGAAAGAGAAGGACACTCCTCCCCGATCCAGTCAGTGACTTCCCAGGCCTGCCCTGCCCAAGAGCCTGACAAGCCTGTGGTGGGTGTGGAGAATGGAGCAGGTGCCATCTTGATCTAGTTTACCCATGCTAGCACCTGGTAACCGTCTCCTTGACCTCCAAGGTCACAGCAATCACCCCTTTACTAATGAAAATCGGTGAAACCCTTGGATGTTGCTGGTAAGAATGTAAGTGGCTTAGCAATTATGAAAGACAGTTTAGTGGTTCCTAACCACAGAATTACCGTCTGATGTGACAGCCCAAATGTCCTTCTGTGGGTGGATGGATAAGCAAGTTGTTCTGCATCTAAACTGTGGAATACTATTCCTCCAGGAAAAGAGAGAAAATCCTAATACCTGCTTCGATATGGCTGCACCTAAGTGAGAGTAGCCGTCAGCAAAAATCAAAGTTGTAAGATGGCATTTATTTATTTATTTATTTACTTACTTACTTATTTTTGGCACCAGGTATTGAACTCAGGGGCACTCAACCACTGAGCCACATCCCAGCCCTATTTTGTATTTTATTTAGAGACAGGGTCTCACTGAATTGATTAGCGCCTTGCTTTTGCTGAAAGTGGCTTTGAACTCATGATCCTCCTGCCTCAGCATTCGGAGCCACTGGGATTACCAGCGTGTGCCTCCATGTCCAGCCAATTTACTTATTTTGGAGGATACCCAGAGATTGAACCCAGGGGCACTCAATCTGTTAGAGTCTGTAAACAAGTCAAAATAACACCTGGCATTTTGCCAGGGGAATGTTAGAGTTCGTAAACAAGTCTGGA